GTGACAGATCCAGCTTTTCATGAATGAATGAAACATGTCGCTATTGATTTCCGCTTTATTCATGATCAAGTTCAAAATGGCTCTCTACGTGTGGCTCATATTTCTAGTGCAGACCAACTTGCAGATGCTCTTACCAAACCACTCCCTAGGTCTCGGTTTCTTTCTCTATGCACCAAGATTGGTCTCTTTAGTCGGGCTCCATCTTGAGGGGGCATATTAGAGAAGACCAAAAGAGAATCAGTCGAGAGAAGAAGTAATCAATGATCTTTGTTTTAAATTTTTATTTGATCTTTTGAATTTGTATTTGGTCTTTTACACTTGTATATATACCTGTGATGTTGAATGGAAATATAAGCAGCCAAATTCCTTCTTCTTGCTCATTCTTGCTTCTCTTGTATCCTTTATATAAGCCCAAAATCCTAATCTCATTTATATTACCATTTGATGTAGGATTACAAATTATCCTAATCTTATTTCATTAGAAGTGGGATTGCTAAATTCCTATTCCTTATGAATTGCTAATGAGTCAATTTTCAACAATAACTCACTCTAAAATTTGATCAATATACATAAGAAACTCTCGTGGTTTAGTAAATGAAAGTTTTCAACATAGTGTCAATGTTAAGCTACTGTTTTTAATGCTTTCCTTGCTTTAGTTTTTATCATATTGCATATGCACGTGATTTAGTATAACTTTATAATATATGGTCTATTTTTCTGCTTATAAACTTCAAATATGCCTTTTTTTTTTCTTTTTCTAAATCAATTAAACCAAACCTACATGACTCCAATAAGTATACATAATAACTGTGTTGTGACATTTCTTTCTTTGGCATGGAATATATTAGCTTCTTCATGGTTTATGTTGTATTTGTAATTGTAATTGCTTGGCACCCACCAAGCATAGAGGTCACGGGTGCGGAAAAAAAAAAAAAAAGTATGTCCGTATTCTTTATTGTCTGGGAGATCTTTATATTAGCTAAGTTTCTACATCTACACCATTTCTCATTAAACTTGACAACACCAATTTTCCTTCTTACACAAACTGACGTAGAATTTGAAATTTTTACAGGGTTACTTGTGTTGCTTGATAACGTTGTTGTGGTCGATTATATAAGAAACATGCATTAGGCAGATGAATGAAAATGAGTTTTTTTATTGCATTTTAACATCCATTGCTTTATGACCGTTGGATCACATTCAAACTGTAAAATTTCATCTACTAAGGGCGGAATGATAATTTGACAGTGTTAATTAAAGGCATTATGGTCAATCTATATAAACAAAATTTGCAATGATTACATTGAATATGTCTTTTCTGTAGAGGGGTATATTGATAATTTTGTTATCAATTTGAGGGTATTTAGGTACTTTAAGGGTAAAATTAACATTTCCACCCTCTGACAGCTTTTTCCAAAGAAAAATTGGACAGTTAAGGTCCAATTTCCCAATCCAATGAATGCTTTCATAGTTCTTGGAACACATGGGGTTTATTCAAAAGAGTAATGTTATAGTTATCGAAGGATACGTATTGAATTCATATCCTGAATGATATGATAAAATTTTGATTGTCAATTTATTATAAGTTAATATTAATCAATAATTATGATTTTATCATGTCATTCGGTGCATAGATTCGATGTGTAATTTTTGGTAATTCTATCATTTTCCTATCCAAAATTAATTAAAAATAAAATGAAATAACTTACCACCCCCTTAAACACAAACAATTTGTTAGTAAACAGTCCCGTATACGCAGCGGAAACAAAAATTATAATATAACAGGATCGTTTACGTGAGTCAAGATCAAGGGTATGATTTTACAATTTATATTAAATAAAATCTGCAGAAATATTCAACATGAGTTAAGAGAAACAAACGCACGTTTGGAGGCTCCACCACGATTGTCTTTGAACATTTTGCTACCGATCCAAGTATAGGATCGAACCTGCGTAGTCCACACGAAGACAATCTCAAAAGAACCAAAGAAAGATTTGCTAGATCTTCTTTGGCTTCAAGAGTAAGAAGAAAAAAAAATCAATTGAAATTGATTTTAGGCTAAGAGTGTTTCTGCCGTGGGAGTGAAAAGAGAGGGCTGCTGTGTGTGTTATGTTTCAAAGAAAAATCAATTCATTATTTTAATTAACACACATTTTTTTCTTTTTATAGTAAAATAATCAAGTTGCCCTAATCCCATACGGAATAGGCTTGGGCTCCAACCCAAACGCCCCATATTGCCAAATACTCCTAATTTTATTTATTTTATTTTCCATCATTATCTCAATTAAAATCAATTAATATATATTTAAATATATATTAACAGTTAACAATAATAATAATATATTTAAATATGTGCGAACACACATTTAAATGTAATTTCTTATTTAATTTTTGTAAAAAATAAATAAAGGCTACGACCTCAGCAAATTTAATTGCACTGTGAAATTACCAAAATACCCTTTCGCCTTAAAAGACGAAAACGCCCTTTTTCTTCTTGGATCTTAAATATCTTCTATGTGTGTGACCCATAGGCTCCATCATATCGACAGTGTATAGTATCGCGATTAACACCAATTAATCGTCTCACTAATACACAGACCAAGATTGGCCCTAGCAAGGCCATGACCACCATAGATTCAGATTTAGCAGAGTAGCTACCTGTCAACGATATGTGTACCTTGCAATTCGATCATTTCATCATTCGTTATCTCGACGAGACGAAGGCATAGAAATAGTGTCAACTTCGGTTACTCTCGATATTATTTATTCAGTTCTTGACCAATGACTCGTATTATAAACTGGATAGAGCAACAACTCAATCCACTGTGGCCACAGTTTTAGTGTCATTGCCATATACTGAATTGCGCCGTGAGATAAACTTTCTCCCATACCCGGGAGTGATGAATCCTCTGTCAATCCACCATAGTCTTGTACACTCCTTGATGCAGCCAATCACCACCGTATTGACAGCTCTGAAAAGAATTGCGTTAGGCTAGTGTCAAACTACACCAATCGGTGCACAAGGCACTCCGGTGATCTCAAGTCTAAGGATCACATGCACAATCATTCGTTAGAGGATTTGTTCCATAGACACAGGGTTACCATCCATATGGAATCCTGGTGGGTCAGTCCAGTGAACTTGCTGCGGTGTAATCGCCTACAGCAAGCACCCATGTGTTGCACCAGGTTGTCACCAAAACACCTTGACAAGTGAGATCAGTCACTGCCTTTCGATAGGTCGTTCAACACTATGATAGCCTACCGTATTATCTGTGCCTTACTCAGAATAATACTGGGGCTAAGGACGTTTCTAGAATGGCCACCATATGTGTCATAGGGTTCTCACTATCAAGATTTGAAACACTTGATACCCTTGTCACGGTTCACCCTTCTAAGGACATATATCAATACATATTGCAATAATAATGATTCGCGATATAGAAAAATGCCTTTTATTGATCAATGAACATTATTACAAAGAGTCAATTCTACAATAATTGATTGGCTCTAGGGTTTCTACTCTAACACAATTACCCCACCAACTTCGGAGTTACACACTATTGTTAATTTTTTTTTTTTTTTTTTTTTTTTTTTTTTTGTATTCGAAGGGTGTTGAGTTAACTTATGTATACTTCAACTAGTTTTCTAGAATTTTAAAGTTAACGACTAAGTAAGTGTCCAATGGTTACCCATGATTAGTAGTGGTGGGGATTCGACTATTCAAATGGATGAAAAAAAGGGTTAAAAAGTCATTTTACCTCAATTCACTTAAAAAAAAAATTATTTCCTTTAACTTCTATTATTAAATAAGCTAAAAATGCAAATTATACTTGTATGATGATTGATTTTTTATTTTTTTATCAAATTAAGTCAGAAAAAAAATAATAAAAAAAAAATTAAACGGAAAAAAGTTAAAAATATAAAATTATGTATATTCCATATATTTAAAAATATCTATAAATAAATAAATTTTAAAAGTTTTCTTTAATTTTTATTTGGAGTTTCTTTTTCTTTTTCAAAACCACATTATAGGGCATTTTAGTCTTTTCATAGGTCAACTATGGTCTTCCAGCCAAAAATAGCCAAAACTCAGAATAGGGGTGTGAATGGTTAATTCCCAAATTGGTAGGGGAAATTTGTCAGTTGTTAAAATGGGTAACGTTAACCTTGTTCACCAAGGAATTAAGACTCTCTCTCCAACTCCAATCAAGACTCGGAGACGGAGACTCTATTAACAAGTATATATAGTTGTAACTGTAGCGTAATTATACAACTCAAAGCTCAAGCATGGCATGGGAGAAGGAGAATTAAGGTTAACGACCAAAAAGCTTTACTACTGTGATCATTGTTTCAGACTCACCAAGGTGCTCAGATGGCTATTTCATGTAAGTAATACAATTTATATTTATTAAATTATTCTTCATTAATTGCAAATTGATGTATTTTATATCCACTTTATATGTTTAATTGCAGATCTTGTGGTGTATGTGGGAAGGTGCTGGCTGATAAGAGCACCATGCGCGAAACCAGAAACTGAGGCCTCAAAAATTAAAAAGAGAAGGGGACGTCCAGTGAAAGATTAGCCTTTGAATATATTAACAAACATTAATTTTTTTATTTATTTTCTTCAAATAATATTATATTTAACTTGTTAGTGTTTGAAACAGTTTTTGAGCATTAAAACTTCAATTTCTATCACCTGTCAATCATCTATAATATCCAAACAGTGGATCGGCTTATGGACTAATAGAAATACACGCTTGAAACAGTTCTATATGACAAATCCGGTGAGTCCCTGATAATGAACCTGCCCTTGATTTCTAGTTCAGAACCACCGCATATGATTGAGCAAAGTGATATTGCAGAACTATTGAGCTTGAATTGAATTCACACCATTACTTATTGATTGCAATAAAACTGTATTACATGTAATTTTTCATGTAATATCATGTACCAATAATGTAACAATTTGTTGAGTAACATTATTTGTCTCAAGCATATTAGTTACTATTATGAATTGGATTCTATAGTCTTTCATTGAAATGCATTACAACTTGTCCAAATTGAACAGAACCAGTTTGAATTGAAGTATAAAAAAATAGCAGCATTTATGGTTAAAGGCCAAGCCAAGTTAAACCAAATAATTGTCGCTAAATCATTCTGAGACATTTATCAACATATTCATGACTCAAGTTTTAATCAACCCAGGCACAGTAACTTCTGCTTCAATGATGCAAGTGTTATCCACCAAGAAACTCTGTTTTGGATCCTCGAGTTTATGCAGTGACATGAACTTTCTGGCATCCCAGTTCAGGAGGATTGGAGAAAAAACCTGTTCAACTGCAAGAAGGAAAAAATAAAAACTATAATGACGAATGGGAAAGGGAGTTACAACAAGAAATTATAGCACTGATGCAATCTTTATATTGCATTTAAACATTCCTCTATGCCAATTTTTTTTTTTTTTTTTTTTTAAATTCTCCTGTTCAATTTACAACTTGCAACCCAAAAGAGTTTAGTTTACGTATGAGAAAAAAACTATGTTATCATAAGCTCTACTTGAAGTTGTACAATAAGGAGTCTCACATTCAATTTCGACATGATTTTCTTTTGTTTGATCTTTGACACGTAGAATGAATTTCACAAATAACTTGGTACTCAGAGGAATGCTTTCCTTGAGCAACAGTAGAAAAGTTGAAATATTGTTGCCCTTGGCTTCTAAACATCCATTAGGGTAGAACGAAATTTTCCTGCATTAATGAAATATTAATCAACTCAGGCAGTGGTTTATATAGCAAAGAGAAATAAAAGGCATTGCATATCAAAAGTAAATTTGTACCAGTTATAATCTCCAAATGGTTCAGACGCACACGTTTCATCAAGTAGAGTTGAAATTTTTGTGATTTTCCAAACATGGTAACATGTAGCAGGTTCTTTGATCATTGATAAGCACTCCTCTTTAAAAGTACTTTTGACGACAAAAACCTCAGCGCTAAAGACACAAGTATGATCGATATGGTATCCTTTAAGGGGATTATGAAATGCTTTCAGATCTATGAATTTGGCGATACCCCATTCGGTTTTCATTGCATGGTATCTCCTAACACAACCAATCACAAACATTAATGAATCTATTGAGTGTAAAAGCATAACAAGTTCTAAACTTAGGCACTGGATTTATCACCATTCTTTCCATATAATTTACCCTGTCAAAATAAGAGAGAATATGTGGTACCACAAGTTGATGCAAACGTAGCATATAAACAATAGATCCTCGTATGAACTCTGCGGTGAGTCTTTGAGCACTTTACCCTGGAGACTATCATACTTATCTTGAAGCTGATTGAATATTAGAAAATTGAAAATCACATTGACTTCCCATCTTGCAGGGAGAGAACTCGTCTCTATCAATTCCAGGTAAATGGATATATGATTTTCCCTGTTTTTGCTAGAGTCCCCAGCTGGGTATATCAGCAATCTCCTATAAAACCAGGCCCAATGGTAAACTGAAAAAAAGAAAGGTCTTGATACTTATTTGGCAAGTAAGCATATTCAAAAACTATGGAAAGCAGATAAAACTGTTTTAGAAAACATTTCAACCAAGAAATAAAATACCATTTGAAACCCCTTGCTTCAAATTGGCTCGTTTTATATATATCAATTGAAGCTTTTAGTAATGAGAAGGGCTCGATTTTGAAGAAGAAATGACTAGGCAGAGCATCCCGTCCTGAAAGAGGGTAAAACTTATTACAATTTTAATAAATTCCATGAAATTATCTCCAGGGAGAGTATATAGTTCAACATATGAAAGTTAGTGAATAACTCGGGTGAAAAATCTTCGGCTCATATCATTAACCCCACTAATTAACATCATACAACTACCAAAGCACTAGCATGAAGAATAAAGTATGTGTGTAGGGCTGGTTAACGAACCGAGCCGCTCGCGAGTCGGCTCGGCTCGGCTCGAGTCCGGCTCGTTAACGGCTCGATTCGTCTGATAACGAGGTGACTCGACTCGGCTCGTGAGACAGAACGAGCAGAGTTCGAGCCATGCTTGGCTTGGCTCGTTAGGCTCGCGAGCCGAGCCTGGCTCGAAATATCGGGGGGTTTTTTGAGGTTTTCTGAACTACTGGGATTTAATTGAAAATTATGCAATACAAGTTTTAAAAAAATGACAAAATGCCCCCCATTGTTAAAATCCCCAAATCGTCGAATTCCTTCGCCAGATGAACCCTTGCCGTAACAGTTCAAACTTGAAACTCCTCCCAAACCCACAATTTTCTTCTCCATCATCAGCACAAAATTTCCGTCGGGTTTTCATGGGATCTTCGTCATCTTCGCGGGATCTTCGTCATCTTCTTCGAAGCTTCATCATCTTCGTCAGATATTCATCATCTTCGTCCGAGCTTCGTCATCTTCGTCGGATCTTCATCATTCTTTCGACATCAAAAAGAAAAACAAATTTGAGAAGCTACGAAAGTGATAGTAACCGTTTGTTTCCAGTGAAAAGAACAAGGAAAAATAATGGTTGTTGCTAATACATAGATTCTCTCTCGCTTAGATCGTTTAGAGAACACAGTTGAGACAGGTAGAAGAAATTAGATTCTGTAGCAGGTCACCAAAGAGTTCATGTGCATCTACTCCATCAAGTGGGACCCTAAATAGTGGTGGCCTTCCCTCATCCATTGATTTCTCCCCAAAGAGTCTAGAGAAGTGAAATAAATCAGTTTGACATAAATGCGCACTGCTGCCCAGCAAATTTAAAAAGAAAAAAATTTGAATTTTTTATTAAAAAATTTGACAATAAATGCGCACTGCTGCCCAGCAAATTTAAAAAGAAAAAAATTTGAATTTTTTATTAAAAAACTTGACAATAAATGCGCACTGCTGCCCAGCAAATTTAAAAATAAAAAAATTTGAATTTTTTATTAAAAAATTGAATTATTTGGAGTTGGCTCGCGAGCCGGCTCGAACTCGACTCGATAAGCTGGCTCGCGAACCGGCTCGCGAACCGGCTCGAAATATATTAAAATCATTAACGAGCTGAGCCGAGTCATATAATATATGACTCGGCTCGGCTCGTACTCGGCTCGTTAAATTTTCCTCTTTCACGAGCTGAGCTCATTAAGCCGAAAACTCGGCTCGGCTCGGCTCGGCTCGATAACACCCCTATATGTGTGTGTGTGAAAATTTTCAGGTGCAATCGTCCTACAAGTTTTTACGTACAGACCAAAACCCAAGGACTTTAATTTTGTACTTTGTATTTACTTAATTGGCAGCTAAAATATAATATATAAATAAAATAATGTACCTCTCAAGATGGCAACTTCAATGGAGTCGGCGGCATTCATGTTGTTGAGAAGAGAGAAATTAGAAAGTTCAGAGGAGTCCTCAGTGTTCATGTTGTTGATGAAAGATATCTGAATTTGGAGTGGTGCCAAGTCTAAATAGGCGCTTTGGCTTGAGACACGGTTTTTATTTTTGAGTTTTCCCTCTTGTTGCAAGGCAAGGAATGAATAGGACCATTTTGTTTAATGTTGACGCTTGATTTTGGACACCAATGACTCGCATGTGAGAAGCACTAAGTAGACTTAGAAATCACACGTGATGGATCCATGAGATTTGAATATGGAGTTGAGATTATATATGTTGCAGAAAACATAAATAAAAGATTGGCAAGAGGGGTTTTTATAGTGGTTCAGATGCAACAAACGACTCCTACATCCACTGTTATTTTATTGATCTCTGACTATTTCTATGATTTTGCTCGTAAGGCATACAAAGATGAAGAAATACAGTGTTTACAGAGAGAGAATGAAATGAAGCTCAAATCTCAGCCCAGCCTCCTTCTTCGGGAAGAGGAGTGCCCATTTATACACCTAAACACTCAATGTAATGAGTGTTCTGCAAGTTGCCTTGACACATGGAAGGCTCTCATCCATTCATTTCTTTGAAATGAGATAGAGTTGGTGTGAATATCTTTGAGGAGATATAGGCTTGGCAGCACATTTATTAGGCTGACATAAGCGTGACTTTTGAGGCATAACAGAAGCCCCACAGTTTTTGAAGTGCATAATTACGCTTCAGAAACTCAAGTCTTTGATCTGAATGGCTGCAGTCTCGAACTGAAGAGCTCGAACTATTCTTGGCGTGATCAAGTGCTGAGAGCTAGGAGCTAATCGCGATCTGTTAGGAGCTTGACCTAAAATCTGTTAGGAGCTCGACCTGAAATCTGTTAGGAGCACGACCTGAAATCTGTTAGGAGAATGACCTGAAATCTGTTAGAAGAACGGCCTGAAAGGTCATAACGAGCTCAATCTGAGCAAAACGAGCTTAACTTGAAAGCAAAACAAGCTCAATCTGAGCTAAACGAGCTCAACTTGAGAGCAAAACGACCTAAATGAACAAAACGAGCTCAATCTGAGAGGTCAAAACGACCTCAACCTGAAAGGTCAAAATGACCTCGACCTTAGAGGTCAAAACAAGCTCAATGAGCAAAACGACCTCAACTTGAGAGGTCAAAACGACCTCGACCTGAGAGGTCAAAACGACCTCAATGAGCAAAACGAGCTCAATCTGAGAGGTCAAAACGACCTCGACCTGAGAGGTCAAAACAAGCTCTACCTAAGAGCACAAGAGATCAGTGATCTCAGCGTGTGATCAACGATCTGAACACGTGATTTGAAGCTAAAGATCAGCGATCTGAAGCCGAGGATCAGGACGGCATGGGCATGCGATCTGTGGTCCGGCCACTCGGTTGGAGAATTCTGATGCGTGCGATCTGCGATCTGGCCATGCGATCGGAGAACTCTGACGCGTGCGATCTGGCCACACGATTTGAGAATTCTAACGTGTGTGATCTGTGATCTGGCCATATGATTGGAGAATTCTAACGCAGGTTTGAGATCTGAGCACGCCATCAGGAAACTTGGACGTAGGTTTGAGAATCAGACCTGCATGGGCCACTAAACTGTTGACACTTGATTTTGGACGCCAACGACTCGCATGTGAGAAGCGCTAAATGGACTTAGAAATCACACGTGATGGATCCATAAGATTTGAATATGGAGCTAAGATTATATATGTTGCAGAAAACATAAATAAAAGATTGGCAAGAGGGGTTTTCATAGTGGTTCAAATGCAACAAGCGACTCCTACATCCACTGTTATTTTATTGATCTTTGACTATTTCTATGATTTTGCCTGTAAGGCATACAAAGATGAAGAAATACAGTGTTTATAGAGAGAGAATGAAATGAAGCTCAAATCTCAGCCCAGCCTCCCACTTCGAGAAGAGAAGTGCTAATTTATACACCTAAACACTTAATGCAATGAGTATTTTTCAAGTTACCTTGACACATGGAAGGCTCTCATCTATTCATTTCTTTGAAATGAGATAAAGTTGGTATGAATATCTTTGAGGAGATATGGGCTTGGCAACACATTTATTAGACTGACATAAGCGTGACTTTATTTTTACTTTGTAGTTATCTTCAACAGCGTGCGTCAAAGGATAAATCATTCTCTTATTAGGTACTTTTTGTTTCCTTCATTTGTTGGATATTCTGAGCTAAGATTCGTAACAATGAGAGCTGATTGTAGTAGAATTGCTAGTGTAAAATTGTTGTTTGTGTCTCTTTTGGAAAGAGATAAGAATTTATTTTTGTCTGTCTTTGTGTATGTTCATGTTGTATTGAGTTGCTTATACGGCCTTACTAAATAATCCTACTAAAGAATAATATATAATGCTTGAATATTTCCATTATATTTTATATGTCTTTGTGTCTTTGCAGAAAGCATATATAACTGCACTTTTCTTTTTAATTTGTTTGTGAACTGCCCTTTTTCACAGACTATATGTTGGGTTGGGTTGAGTATAGGTAATTAGGACCTGTCATGCATTTAATTTGATTTTATGGGGTTTTGTTCATAAGTAATACAGATACTTGTCTCTTCTCTTGTGGTGGTGTTGTGAGACAATTAATTTTACTTAGCAGTTAATCAAAGGATATTTGAAAGACAACTTTGCAAGTAGGTATGTGGATGCAGCTAGCATGCATATATAGAATGTATAAGTTGAAGATGTATATATATGTTAACTTGGTTTTGTTGTAGGTCAGTATGAAGAAATTAAACATATTATAGAAAGAAGCATGAATCATGAGTACAGCTAGCAATTGGTTCTCTTTTGCCAATCAATTACATATATACAACGTACTGAGACAATAATATTATTTGTAGAGAGAGTTGCACCGTGTAGTACTAGCTACTTTATTTGTACTTGAGAATTTTTAATTTGAAAAGCAGGAAAAGCTATATATATAAGAGGAAGCAGATTCAAAAGGTGGCCAGGTCTTTTGTTTTTGTGGTGAGTTTTGATTGATATTGAGATGCATGCAATTAATTGGTTGTCAAGTAACAGGGAGTTATAGCCATGGAAGAAAAGCCCCCACGCCTTCTTTCTCAAATATAGAAAAACAGATTGTGCATTCAAGTTGTCTAGCTTTTGCCTGAAACTGAAAGGCCAGAGTTTGGCAGCCATATATATGAATGCATAAATGTACTACTAGTACTTTGCTTAATCATCTATCTTTTTGCTTCCGTAAACATTATTCTATCAATTTGTAATCATATTCATTCATTAAAGTTTAAGTCCGATAGAACCCATTGAAGACTGAAACATTCCATGTGTAACGTGTCACCTAAAAATACATAAATGGGCATCAATCAAGTGGGTGATTAGACCGTTGAATTCAATTTTTTATATATTACCTTTTGACTTTGTGTCCAATGATTGATTTACAGTATTTTTAACAAATTATCTATCTTTCTAAAGAATTTGTGTTATTTTCTAATGATATTCCCCTGATCATTTTAATAGTTACATTATACTTATTTTTTCACCTCATTTTTGAGTTTTTCCTTACCCTACCGAATTCACATGTCTCATGTTGCTCAAATTCTTTAATCCTGTGGAGATTACAACAATTTCATATCTAACTACTGTTTCCTCAAATCCTGTGACTTGACACTGGAATAGTCCTTTCTTTTAATTACCTTCAAATATTACCTATTCCTGGAAAGGTTATGCCATAGAATCATTGGTTACCATCATTTCATTTCTTGTTATCTAGTGTCTACCTCTATTATTGCAATTGCACTCACCCATTCAATTTCCAAGTCAAAAGCATTTCAATTTTTACTTTGGCCATTTGGTCAACTTACCATTTATGTTCCCTTCCTCTTTGTGACTTTCTGTCACTTTTGATGTTGATTTGTTCTTCCCTTTTTAATTTTTATAAAGCAATAAAGAGGAATTTTAGTGGCACAATTTTGATTAAGATTTGAATTAGATTGGCAAATCATCCATTGATGGATGGTGATAGACTAAATAATCAGAAGAATGGTTGCAATAATTTAGGTAGTTGGGTATTCAATTCTAGTTTAAGACTTTAGAGGCTGTTCATGAATTAAAATACAAATACTTGTGGGTATTAATGTTCTGGCCTATATGTAATGTTGAACTTTATATTATTAGAAATCTGATTATGAGTGTGCAATTTTTATGAAGCTTTACATATTGCAATAGATAAAAATGTCTATTTCATTTGTGATTCTATAATAAAAATGAATAATCAGTTGGATAATC